GCATCACTGAAGCAATGAGCATGAAACTGAGCAAACTCAGGGAGGCAGTGAAGGACAGGAAGGCCTGGCGCAATATGGTTCATGGGGTCACGAAGAGTCGGACACGACTTAACGACTGAACAACAAATAGCCTAAATAAACTTACCTTATTTTGAAGAGCAAAAACACTGCCATCACAACCCTGAGACGCAGCTATCCTGAAGCCAATGTTGCTCAGTTTCTACCAGCTTTCCTTCAGAAGGTATTTAAAAAGCTATTCTGCTTTACATTAAACCATGCATATTCCTACCTATTTTTGTTCTGCGTAGTGATTTCATTCCAGTTTTCAAATGCTCAATCACCATATTCTCACTTTCACAGGGAAATTCTTCTTCCTTAGATTTTACAGCCACAGAAGAACGGAAGCCAGAAGTTATAGAACAAATGTTTGCAGACGTTGAGCTACACAACTGTCTCTCGCACACCTACAAGACAGAATATATACATATCTATTCTGGAGTATTCATGCAACAACTTCAGAATAAATGCATGCCTTTCCTGCCTGAAGCCCCTGAAATATCAAAGCCATGTGCTGGGAGGGCATCCTCAAAGGGAAGAGAACTCACATGCAGACAGACCAGCCTAAATAATGTTCTGTCTAGAATTTCCAAGCCATAAAGGCATGAGTGCATGTCCATGAGTTAGCTATTCTTAAACAAAAAGCCACTTAGAACATGAAAATTTAACTATCCTAGGAAGATCTCTGGGAGCAGTTCTTGACACTGATCAGATGAACAGCAAATCCAAGTGTACAGATCTTATCTGCAGTTCCTCAGATGCTCAGTTGCAATACAGTGAACTAGTTCAACAAACAAAAAAGAAGAGACTCTCTTGAGTTGAACATAGTTCCCCATGACTACATTGACTGGTACATACAGATTTCTTGGCAGTAATATGGACCGGGACACAAGAAATACATGGATCTAGAGCTCTATTCAGGTGTCTCATTTCAATGGGTGATCAATTTACAACAGGCAAATGTGGACAACATCACTAATTTGTGATTTATTTCTCCCTAAGTGCTGGATTGATAACTTCTCTTTTGTGTACACTCCCCATTCTATTTACAAACCAAAAAAAATCAGAGGATCTAAATTATGTGGGAAGCCTACATAGTAAAAAGGAAGATTTTCAGAAGTTATGCCTCCAAATGCTGGACAGCAAGGGATATCAATGGGGGATGGAGCTAGGACCCATTTGTATACTCTTCCCCAATGCATCCTGATCAAATAGAGAAACAGAACTGAAAAATGTGTAGGAGTGCAAATGAACCCACGATTGAGGAAATAGGATTGGGTAATCTGTATATTTGCCCTTTGAAAGAATATATGAACCAAAATGGTTTTTGCTGAAGTCATTAGCTAATTCTCTTTTTGTTGAAGACCATATTTCAAATAGTTTGTTTGCCTAAACCCTAAATGTGAGGGCAAATTTCTGATAGGCCAAGATATTTCAGGGAGTGAAATAAGCAATGTTGACAGGCTGCATGGTGATTTATACAACCTCCAAACAAAACAAAATGTTATATAACAAAAAGATACCTGTGCTCCTGATATCTAATATTCTGTGTGGAGAAATTTTTTTTGTATGGAGGAGAATTTGATTGAGCTCCCACTTAGCTAAGAGTCAAGTTTCCATGAGTTGTTGACATTAGTAATGTTAATATATTTGTGGTCTTCTCCTATTTTAATATTACCTCATCTGTTTTAATTACTGCATCTACACACTCAGATGTTTTCTGTAGGATTTTTCCTGGAGGTATAAATCTTGGCTTTTTGGCTGAATTCCCCAGCAGTTGACTCGGAGCTGCTGATCGTCTCATCTTTGGCTCTGTTGATTTGAAAAATAGCAATCAGGAAGTGTGCAGCAAATTCAGAGCCTTGGAAAGAACCCTGACAGGACCCAAATACCACCTACAATCCAGGAACTATAATTTAGAAATCAATGGCAGCATTCCTGACATAGCACCATTCAGGTTCTACCTATGTCTCCAACAGAAGAAAGTTCATCACTTCCTGAAACAGATTCTTACACAATCAAATACACCTATCATTAAGATGTTTCTACTAATGGTAACCAAGTGTACAAAAATCTCAAATTGTACAACATAGGCTTCTAGCTACATTACATCTAGATATTAAGTAAAAAGCTGAAGAATTAAGTAGTATCACTCTCCTTACTCCTTCCCTAATGACTATATTATATTTTCTGAGGTAAATGGTAAGGAAGAAAGGACGTTTCTCAGATCCTTTTGGAATTCCAAGCAAATCATGTCAGGAGCCAGGTTGATGTGGTGGTTTTTGTTTTTAGGGTTTTTTTCCATCATCCAGTTTGATGTCTGCATTGTGTTTATATGTTGCTTACTTATTTATTGCAAATTTCATTGCAATCATTACTGTTAACCAGCCTTGGAATGTGTATCCTGCAGGGTTGGGGAGCAGTGCTTCAATAAAATGTGTGACATAAACGTGATTCTTATTTAGGCACCATTAACCTGGCATTTACTTGAAGGAAGCTCAAGGTTTCTGGGTCAGTCCAATATGCTTTCTCGCCCATTTTTAACAATATGCTTCTGGATATGAACAAAGCAATCGTGATTATACCACCAGGTCAACATTTTCCATACCCACTCCCTGCTCTTTGTAACATTCCGCCCCATAAAAATATCTGATGACCTCATTCTTGTAAGGTTTTAATTATTTTTTTAAAGTTGCCATAATATGAAGTATGGAACTGAAGTAAGGTAGATCAAAGAACCAAAGGCTCCTGAGAACATGCAGACTGCTTTTCAAATGCAGTTTCAAAAATACAAATCTGAAAAATGAATCCAACCTGGATATAGTCGTACTACGCACAGAATATCCCACATCGCAAGCCCCAGAGAACGATGGACCTAGACCAGCTCCCTTATCCCTAACGATGCCCGTTTTCTACCGCACACAACGCAAAGCCGGACTTACACCGCAGTTTAATTGTCCCGCCATACAGCTTACGCCTCTCCTCCAACTAGTGACTAGTTCAACAGTGCATGCGCACACAATCATAAGCGTCTCAGTTCCGTATTCCTCCCCGCGGCCTCTTCTCGCTCTATTACGCATGCGCAACGACCTCTGCCGGGCATTTGCTGGCCCCAGCATAGTTCGAATACCAATGCGAGAGAATCTGTACTGCGCATGCTCTGCTAGTGTTTCGGACGCCTTCAAGATGGCGCTCTAGTTTCGGCTATGGGTTCTGTGTCAGCCAATCATCGAATATAATGTCGGAACAATGCCTCTGTTTACTCCTTGTTTACTTTTACCGAAATTACAGCAGCGATGGAAATCAAGGCGGAGAAATAGCCACAGAGAAAGGCCTCAGAGCAATAGCGAAGAAGCGCTGTCATTTGCATAAAAATATAGAGCTACGCATTGAAGAGAGAACATTGTGAGAGGAAACTTCTTGATTACTTTTATTCCTCTTATTCGCTCTCTCGGTGTGCACTCAAAATCTTGCAAGATATAGGGGCTACTATAATTGGCTTCAGCAAGTCCATTCATTATGAAAATTTAAATTCAATAATGCTTTGTTTTCCTCTGTGTGGGTCTCAGACCCGCGTTCAGGTATCCACGTGACCACGAAGTTCATGCAGTTTAAACTGAGTTTAAGCTCGTCATCCTAGCTCAGCCTACCTCACAGGGTGGTTGCTGTAAGGACAAAATGAAGAGGGACTGCCCCTTTCTGCGTCCGTTTGAGTGCCTGGAGAAACGTGGAAAATAAATGGAGGATGGAAGAAAACAACCTATGATGGTACTGCAGGTTTCCAGAATCTGTTTCCCATGCAGCCTGCTGTTTCATTGAGGAGAAACTCTGAAGTTAAATATGTGCGTGACTCTACTGTTGTCACTCTACGTTCTAGTGGACCTGGACCAATGAGAAGCTACGTATATAGAGGCCGGTGTACTTCCTCTCCTTTTCTCCTCCTGGCTGCGGGGCAGGTGCTACGTCACAAACTCAGGAGTTGGACCTGGACTGAAGGGGTGAGACGCAGAGTAGAGAGGGGGTGGGCAGCCTTGCACAGGAAACGGCAGGGTAGGCTGACTACATGGGAATTCCTGGGAAACATGACTCTCCTCTTTTAAAAAAAATAGTATAATATATAGTATACTGTATAGAATTATATATATATTCTATATATGTAGTAAAAAAAAAGGAAGAAGCAAATTTGCAAAAGTGGACTGGGTATGTTGGTGAGTGGCAAATAAAAACGAGTTTTACATCTTAATGGGTGGGTTGTGGCATACCTTTCGTGCACTAGATCAGTCCTGGTTTCATGCTGGTTGGGGTGGATTCTGGGAGATGAAATCCACACATCTTAAAGTGGCCAAGTTTGAAAAAAACTGCACCAGGTTGACATTGTCGAATGCATGAAGTTGGCTGCTTCCAAAGGTGGGGGGGGAG